GAAGCCCTGGTTTGTTTTTTCACAGTCTCAAATCAAGTGCAGAGATATAATGGCCACTGGACTGACCATGCAGGGGGCAGTAATAAGAACAGCTAAAGAGAAAAAAGGCTAAGAGTAACAAAACTCTCTGAGGACCACCTACCCTTGTGAGATAGTTGTAGACGTGAGGATACAGTCACTTTTCATGTTTTCCTTTTTAAAAGTGTCCTCAAGAAAATATTAGTACTTATAGACAGTTGAATAGTTTGGACTAAAGAAGCCAATTTTAAAATTGGATTTTGAAAAAAACAGGTACTGAAAACACTGTCCACGAGCTCAAAAAACAAACCACTGTAGGCAGCACTGAACTTGTCCTGGTAGATGCTTAATCTTCTTCCTTTCTTAATGATCCACTGAGTCCAATGGATGCTTACTTAGCAGGAATTTAGTTTCCTCTAGTTTATTTACAGGGAACCTATTTCAGTACTTGCCTATCAGAGACTTGTAAAACAGCTGGAACTGTAGATGTATACCCTGTGATGCCATTTGATCTGCGATGATACAGTTGGAGATGCTGTGGTTTTATGGTATGGTGTGGCAGTATCTGATCCAACTAACACTTTTAATACCCAGTAAGCAAACTAAACTTCTAAACTGAGAGAATAGGATATGACATGTAGACTCCGTAACTACTTATTAACAGTGATTATCTTTATTTATTTATTGAATTTGTACACCACCTAGTGCCGTGATGGCGAACCTATGGCACGCGTGCCAGAGGTGGCATGCAGAGCCCTCTCTGTGGGCATGTGTGCTGTCGCCAGCTGCTTTTCTGGTTTCTGGTGTGCCTGCCAACTGGTCTTCACAGATGCTGGAGTGCCGGAAAACGGCCTGAAAACAGCCAAAAAACAGGCCATTTGGGGGCTGTTTTCCAGGCCTGTTTTGGGCTTGAAAACGGCCCCCAAAATGGCCTGAAAACAGGCCATTTTTTGAGGCGTTTTCAGGGCAAAAACGGCCTAAAAACGGCCTGAAAATAGCCCCAAAACCGCCCAAAAAACAGGCATGTACGTGCCAGTTAGCTAGTCTTCAGGTTTCCGGTGCTCTGGCGCATGCACATGCACACATGTTCCGGTTTGGGCACTCGGTGCCGAAAAGGTTCGCCATCACTGACCTAGTGCATCTAAGTTCCTGGCAGCTTACACCAACAAAAATGTATAGTATAATGAACATCCAGAGTAATAATCTGCTCACTAACCCCCAAACAATATAGTATGATATATAATATTCATAGAAATCAAATCAAGTAAGTACATTCACAATTTACACAATATCCAAATATACTGCTGGCAAACCATCAAATCCCTCTAAAAAACTATTGCTGAAGGGCCTACTCAAGCTTCTAGAACTGCAGCTGTTTCGGTCTCAACTCTTCCCTCACAAATCTGGAGAGCCAGCACTATCTTTTCTAGGAGGGCTTTTTCAGATGAGTCTGTATAGACTTTTTATAGGTCAATAATAGTATTTTGAATTGCACTTGGAAAACTGTTGGTAACTCATACACAGCTTGCAAAATAAGTGTAATATGATCATGGCAATGAGCAATGGTCAGCAAGTGAGCCATGGAATTTACCCTTTTCACAGTTACCACTCTGGAGTGATATTTATATTGAGCCATCCACCATAAAACCAAGTTCCGTTTCATGTTCAGTCACAATTCACATGGCTTAGGCCCTGGCGGACCATCTGCGGCCAGCGACAGCTCCCCATTGCCCAGTGCGCTCTCAGAGGGAAGGCCTCCTTGGGGTCCCGTTGGCCAGACAGTGTCAGCTGGCGACTCCCAGGGAGCGGGCCTTCTCTGTGGGCACGCCTACTCTGTGGAATCAGCTCCCCCTGGAGCTCCGGATGGCCCCTGACCTTCGCTCTTTCTGCCGTGACCTCAAAACATGGCTATTTGGTCTGGCCGGATTGGACTGAAGGGGTTTTTAAAAGGGATTGTATTGGTTTTTATATTTGAATACTGAATTTTATGTGTTTTTTATCGTTGTGAGCCACCCTGAGTCCTTTGGGAGAGAGGGCGGCATACAAGTTTAATAAAATAAAATAAATAAATAAATAAATAAAATAATTCAGACGACGTACTTAGAATATTTGTTGATCTAATGTGCATCACTTTACTCTTACTGCCATTGGACAAAATTGCTAGAAAGAGCAGCTTTGCTTTGTAGAAAATATTGAACATAAGATCAGACCTAAGAATAAAAGAATAGATTTCCTAGATCAAGCCATGGTCCAGCTTGGTCCATTATGTTCATTATGCCAAACAGGTATCCCTTTGCACTTCTAAGCAGATGGAGACAGTATCCCATTCCTGTCAACGTTTCCTGCAAGTGATATTTGGAGACATGCTGGCTCCAACCCTGAGCAAATTGCCATTGCGAAACGTGTTGTCCATCCATTTATCCAGTCCACTTTTAAAGCCATCCAAGTTAGCAGCTCTCACAATGTCTTCTCGCAATAATTCCATAGGTTACTTATATGCTGTGCGAAGATATGCTTTCCTTCATTCTAAATCTCTCCAGCTAGTTTCATGGACTGATGTTTCTCCTGGTGTTTTAAAAAAGGAAGGTAAATTCTTTCTCCCCTGTTCTCCATGCCATCCGCAATTTTGTACGTTTTAATCATGTCTCTCTTCGGTTATCAGTTTTCCATATTAGAGTGTTCCAAATATTCTGGATTTTGCTTGTAGGTTAGGTTTTCAAACTTCCTGATAATTCTGCTTGTCGTCTTCTGCACTTCCCAATTGTATGATAGTTTTTTTTTTTTTAAAAAAAAGATGAACAGAGCTGCATATAGTATTCTAGATATGGATATACTATACCCTGGTATATAGATGTTACAATGGGAGTTTTATTTTCAATAGTTTAAACTGAATTTGTCTTTTCTAAAACTGCTGAAAACTGAGATTTTCAAGATCTTTTTTTGGGAGGGAGGTGTCTCTGAACTATCTGTAAGTAACACGTAAATGTTAGGGAAAAATATGTATTTTAACATTTATGTGTTAAAAAGCATTCCTGCTGTTAGAAAATATACAAATAACCTATAGAAAAATCACTTTTTATATGTTGCAACATTTCATATTACATGTAGTCCTTGTTTAGCAGCTGTCTCATTTAGTGACTATTTGCTGTTATGGCAGTGATGAAAAAGGAATTTTGTGACCAGTCCCCACATTTAGAACCATTGCAGGTCTATAAAGTAAAAGAAAGCTGGAGGAAGATAATAAGTACAGTCATAATTTCATTTAGTGATCACTTCACTTAATGACCCAGTTGCTGGTCCCAGTTGTGGTTACTAAATGGGGACCACTTGTGCTACTATTGTTAGAAGACCATTTAAACTGTGTGAGTTTGTACTCATTTTATACTAGCCTTCTGCCTCAAAGTCTGTCTCATTATGAATTTAAAACAATGAATGATATACAGGGTGTATCAATAGTCAGGTTCCCAAGACAATCAGAATATTACTTTTTCCCCAGAGAAAATTTTATAATATTTAGAAGTGTTCAAAGGTCATATGTCAAATGTCTAAGGAAGCGTTTACAAGGAAATGGCAACCAATCCAAACATTTAATGTAATGTATATAATCAATTGCCCATGGGGCCTGACTTTTTTGGTACATCCTGTATATTAGGGGCTGTTTTTCAATCTTTTGGGCTCATGGGTGCAAGTGGACTATGTGGAATTATTGTGGCTGCAATTCACAAAATGATTACCACAATGTTTTATTTATTTCAGCAATACAGCTTTTTTTAAAGCTAGGTACTGGTTCCAGATGAATATGTACTTCTAGGAGTTTGTGATGAAATTGTTGGAAGGAACATTTCTCTCTACTCAGCTATTGTGTACTGCTTTGTTTCCTCTGTGTTCTGGAGAAGGAGGATACAGAGAGTAGACAATGCAAGACCAATTTCCTTACTGTCTCAGTTGCGGCCTCCAATTGGGGGCATTTGGGGGACAAGTTTAGAAATGGGGGGGCACTTCATCTCTGCTGGGCTTTGAGGAAATGCTCCTAGCTTTGCCAGTTCAATGCCCATCATTCCTTGTTAATACCTTAGCATTATACAAAGCCACAGTGACCCTGGAGGCTAGGTGCCATACTCACTGAGTAGTTTTTCCAGGCCACCTTCTCAATGCCTTATTACTTATGGCTAAGTGGAGAATATTCTTGCTTTTTCTTCAAGCTTCCCATCTCCATTGGACACTATTGTCGTGCAAGCAGGGTAGATTTAATTCCTTCATCCCCTAGCCTTCTCTGGTGGGGCCTGGGCACCCAGCATTGCTGAATAAATAGAAAACCTTGTTTTCCTTTCCCTTTCCAACTTCATCAATAAGCCTACTACTTGATGAAGATTTTCTCCTTTCTTCCTGCCTTCTCTTTGTGGGAGAAGCTGCCACATTTTCCTTCTCCACCATCCCAACACAGCTGTTAACTCTTTCTCTTTTTATTTCAACCCTCTTTTTTGAATCATACAAACCTTCCTGATGCAACTTCCTAACTCTTTGGCGCTCAACTTACATCACGGCAGTCTTTTTTAACTTTGCTTTTCAAAAGGAGTTGGAATAGAGTGTGTTCAAGAGAGGGTTTTTCAGCACCAGGAGCAAGTATCCTAGTTATGCCCTCAAATTAGTATAGTTACAAGTTGGTGCTGAGACAATTCTCGTGTTCCCATGGGTGTCCATTGGGGTGCATGACATTTTACAGCTTATATATTCTGAAGAATCAGAGGAATGCTGTATTTTTAAAAGACATGATTCTGTCTGTATACTCAATTTAAAAACGGAAGGCTATTCCAAGCACAGATTGAGATTCCAAGTCTAGACAGCAACTGCTTAAGACCATTTCCTTTAGATTGTGGAGGAGTATGGGAGATAAAGCTGACTTTATTTTTTTTAAAAAAATCTCCTCCAGTCTGCTTTTTGACCCCCTTAGGTGCAGAGAGAAACTTTGATCGACAACATACCTTGGGTTTGAAGGCAATTAACTTCAGAACCATCTCAACGGTGAAAAGGCCGGTGAACAGCATGTTGAGGATGTTCATTGCTTGTTTGAAGAGGATACTTTGACCATAGTGCTGAAAACAAATCCCCAACAACTAATTATTCCAATTTGCATTGTGAAAAGTGGATTGTTTTCTCCTTTTACCCATTCTGTCCCTTCTTCTGCTCCACTTCTATCTCCTTCTGATTGCTTTATAATTTAATGAACGAATCATTAAAAACATATTTCATTTCAAAACCAGCTATGATGCGGAGAACATAGCTTTCTAACACAATATCATGGGCTATCTAGTTGAAATATGATAATATGATTTTATCCTATATCTAATTAATTAAAAAAGAAAGGCCATGTCCTCAGAGCAGGCACTGCTTGACTTATGATTGGCTGCTTGGCGACTGTTCAAAATTATGATGGATCCCCAAAAATGGGACTTTCAACCCAGGTCTGTAGTAGCAACAGTTAGACCTCCATCACAGTCATGTGTCCAAACTTTAGGCACGTGGCAACGTGATCACATTTATGGCCATTTGTAGTGTGTTGTGGTCACATGATTGCATTGTATGATAGTTTTTCTTCTGGTTTTTAGCAAATTGCACGTATAACATACTAAAAGAGCCGAGGTGGCGCAGTGGTTAGAGTGCAGTACTGCAGCTACTTCAGCTGACTGCTAGTTCAGCAGATCAAATCTCACCAGCTCAAGGTTGACTCAGCCTTCCATCCTTCCAAGGTGGGTAAAATGAGGACCCAGATTGTTGGGGGCAATATGCTAATGCAAATGCAATATGCTAATATGCAATATGCTATATGCTAACTTTGTAAACCGCTTAGAGAGGGCTGTAAAGCACTATGAAGCGGTATAGAAGTCTAAACAACAACAACAACAATAATAATTAGTTCGCTTAACAGCTATAGCATTCACTTTACGACCGCTGGGGTTGCTTAATGACCGCCACAAACAACATAAAAGCAAGTTGGTTATGTTACCAACCCATTTTTTGACTATCATGACATAGGACTGTAATGGACAGGCTCCGTTACGGTCATATATAGAGGAGTACCTGTGTTATACCTTGTGACCTATACTTGTCCTCAAAGTTATGACTGCTGCTTCCCCCATCACAGGATTGTTTTTCAGGCATTTGTCAACCAGCTCACATTTACTATTAGTTGCAACATTCTGTGGTCATGTTACTGCAATTTGTAACTTTTTTTTACTGATTTTCGGCTGAAAAATGGCAAAAAAAATGGCCACTGGATATGCTGGCTTCATTTAACAACGTGATTTGCTTACAACATTGTGACTTACTTTATGATTATTGTAAAAGAAATTCAGTGTGTGTGTGTACATAATTTAAATTTTTAAAAAATTAACATTTTTATTGCTTTTGTATGTTGTACTTAGGAAATACACTTGCTTTTAAAAAAAAGGTATGCAGTTGATACAATTTAATCTGCTTTTACAGAATGGAACAAATTAATACTTTCAGATAATTTTAGTTCTCTCACAGTAAAAAATTATTCTTGGTTTTAATAATGTACTTCTTTTCCCTTGATAATTAAAGAAACTACAGGAACTGTGCAATTTCTAGATCATGAATATTGCAGTGAATTCAATATTAGCTATGATATCGTAAGACTTTCTTGGGCTGTATGCTGTCTTGAATTCCATTCCAAAAAACTGTTTTAGAAAGCATGAGATAAAGACAGTGCACTTATCTTCAACTGTTTAAACTTTAAAGCAAGCAATGCCATTTCCTAAGATAACATGGCAGCTGCAGTAGTTAGCCAGGTGAAGATACATCTGTTTTAAAGATTTCTTTGACGTATCTTTGCCAAATTAGTTCTGAAGCTTTGCATAGCCCTACCTTGTTTCCCCTAAAATAAGACATCCCCTGATAATAAGCCCAATCGGACTTTTGAGCGCATGCATTAAAATAAGCTCTCCCCTGAAAATAAGCCCTCCCCGAAAATATTTAAACGCATGCGCAGCCAGTTCCTGCCATTTCCTTTGGTTTCTTCCATGCACCCCAAAATAATAAGACCTCCCTGAAAATAAGGCCAAGTGCTTATTTCGGGGTTCAAAGAAATTTAAGACAGGGTCTTATTTTTGGGGAAACACGGTAGTATTTTCTAACTTTCCACCTACCTGCATGGCTAGGCAGATGGTGTTCAGCAAGATGAGGACGAACATCAGGTATTCAAAATAGGTGGAGTTCACCACATACCATACTTTATATTGGTACTGGTTTTTGGGGATATATCTTCGCAGGGGCCGGGCCTTCAGGGCGTATTCTACACATTGACGCTATTAAAAGAAAGCAGTAGGTTAGAAAAATAAATTCTACCATTATAGAAATATAGCTTGGTCAGAAATCATTATAAAAATTCTTGCTTTAGGAGAAATCATTTTCTAAGGTTAAGTCTTGTGGTGTCTTAATGACCGACACATTGTTTTGGGCCCAACATTTTATGTAGCATAGACCGTTTTGTGAGAAACAACTGGTAGAGCAATTGTGCTTCATGAAAGTTCATGGAATTTTGAGAATTCCATCCAGTATGATCTTTGATGACTGGAAATTCTAGAAGTCGCAGTCTTAAAACCTTACTAAATCCAATAACCTTTAATATTGCAATATTGTAATTATTTACTTTGGAATAAACCGCTGATCTCCGGATTACTGGTCTTTTAATGTGTATTAAAATACAATATGAATACTCCAAAGTATACCATTGCAACAGGAACAAAGGCTTGCTATCTTCCAAGAAGTCTCTGTGGAATCTGACTGTTTTATTTCAGTGATGAAATTTACGTTATTATACTAGCGCTGTCACAATGCACATATAACAGAGGAGGACCTTGCATTGTGATGCTTGTTTTATCATGCATAGCCCTGTATCTTTCTTTTATTTTTCTATGAAGATAATTAAATATTCTAATAGTCCATGGGAGGGTGGTGTTTTTCAGCAGTCAGCAGGCCTAGCCAGCCGTGGAATTCAATTTTTTTTACTACCGGTTCTGTGGGTGTGGCTTGATGGGCGTGGCATGGCTTGGTGGGCGTGGCAGGAGAAGGATACTGTAAAATCTCCATTCTTACCCCATTCCAGGGGAAAGATACTGTAAAATTTCCATTCCCTCCCCACTCCAGGGGAAGGTTACTGCAAAATCCCCATTTCCTCCTGATCAGCTGGGACTTGGGAGGCAGAGAATAGATGGGGATGGGGCCAGTCAGAATTTTTACTACCGATTCTCCGAACTACTCAAAATTTCTGCTACCGGTTCTCCAGAACTGGTCAGAACCTGCTGAAACCCACCTCTGAGCCTAGCACAATTCCCTAAGATTTGTAGTAGGGTAGTACCACCTTCACCTTACATTCTAATAAATATTTAGTCGGATCTTTGAATTGTATCTTGCAGGATTTTAAGAGCCACGTAATGGAATTACCTGGTTCTTATCAAGCTCACAGTTCTTATATTCCTGTTCTCCTTGCTCTTGAAATGTGACGATCACGAAACCAACAAAGATGTTCATCATGAAGAAAGCAATGATGATGATATAAATAATGAAGAAAATTGAGATCTCCACCCTGTGGTTATAGATGGGCCCCACATCTTCCATATGAGAATCGATAGATCGATACAGCAGTCTGGAAACAAAACAAAAAAAAAGGAAATAGGCACTAAATACTTTCAGACAACCTAATTGGCAGGCCTTTTTAAAAGGTCCTTTCTAAGCATGAAAGCACAAGAAAACAAGGATGTGCCATTTGAAAGTTTCCAGATTTCCAGATATTCAGTCTTGTGACTATGTCAGAAATGAGACAGTAAAATGAAATGAAACATTATTTTCTAAAGAACTTTTGAAACAGGTAGTGAGTTAGCACATGATAACACACTGAAGTACTGACTGACAAATCGAGTCAAACAAGCCCATTTAAACACTGAAAAAGGCAAATTATTTTGCATCCATAAAATATAAAGAAATAATGCCTTATATACTCACTCTGGCCAGCCTTCAAAGGTTGAAACAGTGAAAAGGGCCATCATAGCTGTCAGGACATTGTCAAAATCGAATTTGCTATTCTCCCAGCTTCGGGCCTGGATCATCGGTTGAGACACTTCCCCATCCTTGTAAGTGATAAAATTGCCCCTATGAGGAGAAGGAAAGTAAGGGGGATTGGGGGAAATAGACACAAAAGAAAATTCCTTGACAGCGGTTGACATGGAAAAGAGGTCAGACAAATGAACATGAACTCACTTGCATTCTGCTTCTGTTTGCTTGGAGCTATCAGTGCAGCTGTACAGTTTGCCCTGGAGGGGGATGAAAGAGAAGAATAATTTAATTATAGAGCAGAACACAGAGTTATGCTTTCATTACTGCCTCATGAAGAAGAAGAAAAAGTGCTTTTCTCCTCTCTTCATCTATTGCTGTTTAAAGTTTTATCAGCTTGAATGATAGTGCCAGCCTTACTGCATTCTGTATGGATCTTAGTCTATGTTGCCAACAATTGTACTTTTGAACTTAAGCTATAAATTTTCATTCAAGGCAACACACGTACAACAGAGTTAAGAGTCAAATTGGGATAGGAATAAGTATTTTATCATACAGTTACTTCGTAACTCAGAATTCCTTCTATTAAAAAAATATTTTTCATGTTTAAGTATATGGAAAGATTAGCCATCAACAAAACATGTTTCCAGCCATTTTCCAAATTGTTTCAAATATGCAAATCCACCAAAATGTCAACTAGTTTTGGCATGTGCATTACATAAATATACTGAAGATTTTCCCTTTATCTGAATGGGTGTGAGGGAAAGGGAATAGGTTGAGGGGGAAGGGAAAGTCTAAGAAAGTTGTGATTAGAAGGAGCTGATGTGATTCTCAAAAAGAACAAGATTAAAAGCTTACCTAACAAAACACAACATTTGCAATGATAAAAGGGTGTGGAAAAAAATGCAGATACATCAATGATTTTGATATAAATTAAATTTAGTTAAATTTTCTTTGCTTTTTCATATTTTATTTGTTTAATTTCTTTGGCATATAAATTCTAACTCTTTTCATGCTTTCCTTAGTCCAAACGGAAATAATTTATCCTGTATGTACAGATAGTCCTTGACTTACAACCACAATCGACCCTCAGATTTCCATTGCTAAGCATGACAGTTGTTAAGTGAATTTTGCGCCCTTTTATGACCCTTTTTGCCACAGTTGTTAAGCAAATCATTGAAGTTGTTAAGTGAATCATAAGGTTGTTAAATGAATCTGGCTTCCCCCCATTGGTTTTGCTTGTTGAAGGCTGGGAATGTTGCAAATCACATGACCCCAGACAGTGCAGCTATCATAAGTATATGCCAGTTGCCAAGTTTCTGAATTTTGATCATGTGACCAGGAAGATGCTGCAACGGTCATTAAGTGTGAAAACCGGTCATAAGTCACTTTTTACAGTGCCACTGTGACTTTGAATGATCACTAAATGACTGGTTACAAGTCAAGGACTACCTGTAATTACGATTATAGTAAGGATAAAAAGGATAAGGATAAGAATCATATAGTAATATATTGCACCCTAAAGGACAATATCACTGACTTAGTATAAAATGATACATTTGTATTAGAATATTAAACAAAGGAGACTTTGGAAGACACTGAAAAATCATAGCAATTCTCTGTGTTAGGGAAAGTGTTTAGTGTACTCTGAAAACTGGAATACACTATAACACTATACTTTATTATTCATGTAATGAAATGAAGAATTCTTAATCTAAGATCTTATGAAGCAAGCTGAAATGTTCTGAGTTTTCATACTTCGCATGTACCATTATTGCTGATACTGCAAAAGTAGTTTTCAGAATAGAAAACACACTGAAGGCAGCTCATTGCTAGCAAAAGCTTCTACGTTTTTCAAACCCATATTCCAATTACTTTCAATAACAGCCACAATATTAATATCTGCCCTGTGTGTACACCTGATTAACTATGTAGGTTGATGAGATCCATATGCCGGACTTTCCAGCTTCTAGAATTATCCCTAGCTTCAGGAAATGTTCATTCATGTGTGCCCTGAATGCACTGAGAGAACAGCTGGGCCGATTCTGCTCGTCTTCACTACTCAACAAAATTCAGAGAAGGTTCCCACTTCCATCCAGCTGCAAACATAAAATCTTCCCTCAAATTATCATCAATTGTGGCACAAGGCCCCAAATCACATTCAAGTAGTATTTGGGGCTACTTTTGCAGAGAATTACAGTGACATCGAACATATTAGTTCAAAAGTTGAACACCATTAGTTACTCCCCGAGTGAATATTATGAACTAAAGTGCCCAGTAGCTCTCTCAGATTAAACAAGTCGGTTACTTTAATATTTTGTGATGATCGTTCTAGAAAATGTAGAGCCCCAGGCAGTTTTTCTTTTTCTTTTCCCCCAAACTCTTCCAAACGGTTCTATGTTTTTCAACCTTCAATGAAAAAGTGACATTTACCTTGAACAACTGAACGCCAATGCAGGCAAACATGAACTGCAACAAAGTGGTCACGATCACAATATTCCCTATGGTTCGTATGGCTACAAATACGCATTGAACCACGTGCTGCAAAGAAAAATCAGAAATAAAAACAAATTGAATGTTTCACTTTTGAGTCGTTTTAAGTATCAATATTCTTGTTACTTAGCCATCTTATTATACATCTATGCAGGGCCACTTAGAAGGCAAAAATCCGGAGGAAATAAGTGGGAAAATAACTAAAATGCTGGAAATCAGCCAAACAATGGTAGGAGAGTTGGAGGAGACTATGCTGTAAATCAACCAAACACAAAATGCTGGAAATCAGCCAATAAAATGCTGGAAATCAGCCAAGCAAAAGGAGGAGAGTTGGAGAAAAATATGCTGGAAATCAGCCAAATAATGGAAGGAGCTCTGGAGGAGACTATGCTAGAAATTAGCCAAATAAAATATGCTGGAAGTCAGCCAAACAAAGGAGGGAGTCTGGGAGAAGATTATGCTAGAAACTAGCCAAATACAATATGCTGGAAATCAGCCAAACAATGGAAGGAGTTCTGGAGGAGACTATGCTAGAAATTAGTCAAATAAAATATGCTGGAAGTCAGCCAAACAATGGAGGGAGTATGGGAGAAGATTATGCTAGAAACTAGCCAAATACAATATGCTGGAAATCAGCCTATAACGTGGGGAGATAGGGAGGAGATAATATTGGGAATAATCTCAAAAGAGTTGATAACTTGGGAAAGAATAAGTAATATGTTCTTGTGATAAAATTGTGTAATAAGTGGGATATTAAATTGGAAAGTTTAAGATACTGTGATTTGATAAAAAGGGTCAAATAATTAAGACGTTGATAAAATTGTGTTTTATAAATTTTAACAAAATGGAGTTGTATTGAAATTGAACTTGATAATTCTGGTGATAAAATTGTAAGGTATATAATTAGAATAAGAGACTAGAATATTGTTAACAATCAATTGGATATTGATGAGATATAGATACAGAGATAATGAGTTAAAATTTAATTTGAAGCTAAAACTGTATTGATATATTAGATTTGTTTAGATGAAAATGTTAGAATTTTATGTTTAAATTTGTTTTTTTTTTCTGTTTTAAACTTTTAAAAGGTGTAATGGAAAAGTAGAATAGAGCGTGTTAAAAGAATGTAAGCATGTTAACCATCTATGACCAGATCGAAACTCTGTTCTTGAAAGTTATATTTTATGTTTATGTTTGGAAAAAAATAAAAAAAATATTTACAAAAAAAAAAAAAAAGAAGGCAAAAATCCATAGGCTACTGATTTTGAAAACAGAAAGGAGTAAGAGCATCATTAAGTCATAAATGTTTCATGATTGTCCACTTTCTAAAAACTTCATCAGCTTTTTACCATTTGTATCCATAGTGAAAAGGCAATAGTATCTCCTAACGTAATGATTTTGGGGAGAAGAGGACCTATAACTTAAATGAGTATATTGTCTTTGTTTAGATGACAAATGGCCACCCTTAAGCTGCCCTGGAGTCCATAACAATTTTTGGATGGGACAGTATTAGAGAAAATCTGTACCATCATGTAGCATAGCCAGGCCTATGCTGTACTTTGCTCAGAATTGCCCTTCACATTGTTTGTATCCCACCCAGAGTCATTTAGGTGAGATGGGTGATGTAGAAATTGGATAAATAAATATAAAGATAGGTCATTGTTACACAGAGAAATTTCGTGCCCTAGAGCAGGGTCAAACTCACGGCCCGCGGGCCGGATGCGTCATGTGTTGGCCACGCCCACCCCGATTTAGCAAAGGGGAAAAAGTTGTGATACGTCACGTGACGATGTGTCATCACGAGTTTGACACCCCTGCCCTAGAACATTTGCAAGTCAAATAATTTAATACCAAATCATAAGGCTCCAATATTGGATCCAGTCCAATAGTATCCCAGGAAAAAAACGGGCAGACTCTTATTTTTTTGGCATAAACATGAATGAGATTTATATATAAGAAGATAAATAGAATTGTACACTTATGGGCACTATTACCTTGAAGACAGGGGGAAAAAAATCACCCACTGTTAACAAGGAATCCTGCCTATCCGAACAAAGCAGATGGACTGGAATCACTGTCTTTATATCCCCTGCCTAACACTAGGAAAAACCCCAAGCTGATTCATTCAGAGAAGTAGCATAAAGCAAGAGAGCATTTAATCTTTCATGGACTGGAAACGGTTTTCTACCTTTAAACCCTTCGCTCTGTTGATTGCCCGCAATGGTCTGAGGACTCTCAAAACACGTAATATCTTCACCACGTTGATTGCGCTGGACCTAGAGAAGAACATTGAAGATCAGGATTTACTATCATTCAAGGCATTAGCTGATGAGCTGAAAATTATGTAGAGAAATAGATATGACTGAGCACAGAAAGCCAATATTATAGTATGGTTACTAGTTGATATGCTTTTAAATAAAATGTACAAGACATATGAAAGAAGATTTGTAAAAGGTTCATATATCTTTTCCTGGAATGTTTCTACTGAGTTGCTTAAAACTGTAAATATAAAGCTGGCAGCATGTACTGACATCTTTACATTAGTTAAAAGTATATTTAATCTTTTCATAGGAAAATGTTGCACTTATTTAGAATGTCTTCAACTTAATCATTTATATATAACTTTATTGCAATACCTTATTCATAAAATGTGTATTGGCCCAGAAGGAGAGATTTTATTCTTTTTACCACTGCATGTCCATGTTAGGTTTTGAGGTTTTTGTTTTAAAAGTATGTATATTATTCTAAATATATACATGAATTCTGTTCATACAGTCTTTCTACCACATTCTATTATTATTATTATACTTTATTCATTAAACATGAAACTCAGTCAACTGAACATTCAAAAATGCATCACAAATACATTGACTGGTGCTAATGGTTGATACGGGTTGCTGCCAGCGTCCTGGATATCAACCAAGTACCTTCCTAAGATGTACAATGTTCCGAATAGTGCAGTTTTTTGCAGTTCTGCTGGTGTTATTGCAGGAAGCTGCAATTTGTTGATGTATCTTATAAAATTATTTATTATTCTCTTTTATTCATTAAAAATGAAACTCAGTCAACTGGACATTTAAAAATGTGTCACAAATACCATTAACTGGTGGATGATGATGATGATGATGATGATTATCTATTATAGCTTAGATGCTGCATACTAAGCCTCTAAAGGGGAAGGAGCTGTTAGGGACAGGTATATTAAGCTGTATAAAAATATCACATTGACCAAGAGGGAAGAATGACAAGTCAATCTGCCAAATGCATAGCAGACATAATTAGAAAAAGGGTGCCATGCAGAAATCATCACGAAGCACTTTAAAATAAGGACTCTCAGAAGCATTTCACCAAATTACTAATTCAGAAAAGATTAGTTCTATAGTTATTTGTTTTCTGAAAGATTTTTTTCAACATACAACTTGGCTCTGTTAAACACAAATCCCAGCACAGGCAGAACTTCCTGGCCAGTCGCAAAGAGGCTCAAAGCCACTGGAAGAGCTAGATCAGGGGTGAAATGCTACCGGTTCACACTGGTTCGGGCAAACCGGTAGTAATAAAAGCTACCTGTTCGGATGAACTGGTAGTAAAAAAAAATGCTACCAGTTTGTCTGAACTGGTATTTCCGACAATCAGCTATGACGCATGATTTATCCTACTTTCTAGCAAATCTAAATTGCATGGCACAGTTGTTTCCCCCCTTGCTATTCTACTTACTTTCTTAAGCTCCTTTTTCTGTGTGAAGCGTGCGTTTGGTGTGCACTGTGCATGCACTGTGCATGCACAGCATGCGGTTGGTGCACACTGCATGTGCATGCAAAGCACGCATTTGGCACGCACTGGGCATGCAGTGTGTGTTTGCCGCGCACCGCATATGTGCGCGCTGGCGAACCAGTGGCAAACCTCGGAGGATTTCACCACTGAGCTAGATTAATGCGCTGAAGAAGCTTGCTTTGGGAGTTGTGTATTCTTTGAAAGAGGCTGAACTCTTCTTTCTTTCTGCTATTTACAACAGCAGCCTGAGAGTTTTCAGAGTGTGTGAACTTGAAAAAAAGCTGTACTAGGTTTATGAATCAGATTAATTATGCATCATTACTGAAGTTTTTGATTTCACTATAAACCATACTATCTGCTCTTAATTAGGAATCCATGTTTCCAAATTTGCTTATATTCTTTTTATTTTCCTTGCCCATACTTTCATACCCTTTCTGCCTCCTTGGCAAAACATGTGACATCATCTTTTTCTTTTTCAGGTCCCTAATATTGGCCTGGCACTCTGCTGACCAAATAAGTCACTTATCTCAACATTATGATATAGTAATAACCTCTTTAAATTCCCACGCTGATTTAAATCTATTCTCAAACCCTATGATGCTTTAGGTCCTTCCGCCTAATTCCTATTGCAACCAAGCTTCAAGCTGAGTCAAATGCATAATAATGAAACAAGCAAAATTGTTTCTTTTTTTCTTTTGCTTCTGTTGCCATTAGCTCCTCTTTTGTTTCTTCTATAATGTTATAATATATATAACTTAGTACACCTTGGCTCATGGTTTTGTCCTTAACACTTGATTATTGCCTATTGCCAGAATATAATTTTGTTTTATGCTAGCTTAGATTTAAAATCCAGTATCGGACTGAACTAAAAACAGAATATGGTGGCTTCTTAATTATTCTTCATACAAATATACAAAGACCCAATTATTTTGAAATGAGAATGAAAATTAAACATGTAAAAGCAGGAAAAGAAAGAAGAAGGAGGAGGAGGAGGAGGAGGAGGAAGAAGAAGAAGAAGAAGGAGAAGGAGGAGGTGGAGGAGAAGGAGAAGAAGAAGAAGAAGAAGAAGAAGAAGAAGAGAAGAAGAAGAAGAAGAAGAAGAAGAAGAAGAAGAAGAAGAAGAAGAAGAAGAAGAAGAAGAAGAAGAAGAAGAAGAAGAAACAATTTGCAGGGAGAACCGTAATCTGGCTTGTGCCACAACTGTGTCTGCCTTTCCCTGATCTATCTATCCATCTTCCATATGATAGTTGGAAAGATATGATAGCTTACTCACTGGATCCCGAAGGAGATGAGAGAAACGCTAACCACCAGAAGGTCCAGGATGTTGAAGTAGTTTCTGCAGAAGGAGCCTTTGTGAAGGAAAGCCCCATAAGCAGTCATCTATAGGCAATCAAGATTTTACTGTTAGCAAATGCCAAAGATTTTCAGAGCAACCAAAAGGAGGGTAGAGGAGAAAAGCTCTATACATTTGAGCACAAAGTTTCACATGAAGAAGGCAAAGAGGAGTAAATGTGTTTTTCAGGAAAGGGCATGCTAGAAAAACTTGCTAGTAGCATCTGGTCCAACTAAGGAACGGCTGTTTGCAGCTTGCTATCTATTGCCTTTCGAATACACTTTTCTTTTTGTCAGCTTTCAATGTGACTGACATTCATTCTAGAATTTCGTAAAATGTACTTTCCCATATGATTATTATTTAAATGGAAACCTTTTCCCATAAATCTCCTTTAATGAAAATCAGTCTGGTGATCTCAATAGGAAGAAGGATCTTTTCATAGTGCTACCCGATTCATATTCTTTAAACTTTTAGAAGGGTCATCATCCTGCTTAATCTCTCTGACTGAATTGAGGATTATATCTCTGCTACTTTCTTATCAGCAGGCATGGTTTTTATCAGTACAGTTTAGTCTGCTGCTGTATTGGTTCTACAACATGAGGTATCTAAATGTTCGCACAAGAACCCAAAGTTTGATTTTTATTATCAATGATCATGTAGATATATCTGAATCAATATTTGCAATCACTTATAAAATCTAAATGTACTATTAACTAGATCATAGCAGTTTCTGCATGATTTTTTTTTTTTTACCAGCAACACTCTCTTCCAAGAAAATAAAAAAATCTGTAATTTAAAATCTTGGGGCTGTTTTTAATGGCTTAGAATCCCAAGGAATGCCTTCTCCATATGAACTTTCAAGGACACTTCAATAGTTTTTGTGAAGTGAGAGTGGCTTTGTGGCTTTGTGAAATGTGTTCCCCAAGGACACGCACTTGGCACGTATGTTGCTGCTTTTTTTGACATCAGGCTAAAACATTCCTTTTCCCAGGCATTTCATTATTTTTAGTCCCTTTGATCCTAACATGCATACATCACACTGGGGTAGTAACTTTTTCATATTTTTCCTGTGCAACAATAATAACTTACTTGATTGATTTGTCTGTTTGCTTTGCATTTGTTTAATAGACCAAGATAATACAAATCTCAATCCTGATATTTGATTTGATTTGATTTTGAAATGTTTTAAAAAATAATGAAGTGTGGCTAATCTGCTTAAATTTCTTTTTAATTGCTAGTTGCTAGTTGCTACATGGAAAGCATTACCTGCACACGGAATTTTAGCATGACTCCTTAAATGTATCAGACCTGAAAATGTCTTAAAATAAGGATACTTATTTTATTTATTTATTAAATTTAAAATACTGATCGCAATACGAGGAACAAACAATCATAGTTGCATTTTAAATTCTTGCAGCCAACGCAGAATGCACTGCATTAAAAATTTGTAATTTCCTCTACTGGATAAAAAAAATCCACATTAATCTGAGTGGTAGAAATTAACACTTAACATTCTCCGTATCACTGAAAGATAAATGGGTCAGTCACAACTGAATGGAGAGTCTTAAAGGCACTGGATATTTTGTACAATAAATTTTGACATGAACATGGACATGTGATGGACGAAAACAGAATACCAAAAGAATACTAAATTCTATGCATAAATTAGCAGAAAAATTAAAACTATCATATTTTCTGTTATTTAGAAATATATGTTTAGAGATCATGGAGGATTTGCTTTCTAGATATAGTGCCCAATTATTTACTGAATTGAATCAAGTGATACAGTAAGCCCAGAAGTAATTATATAAAGACTTACTTAATTATATTTTTCCTAAGATTACTTTTTAACAAGATGGTAGAAACAAATGTCAAATTTCTAAGAAGTGTCACTGTCCAAAACCCGGACAACACCTTACTACATATTTTCAGATTCCCCTGAGTCAAAATCAAAGAAAACATACTAAGAGTTAGTGTTGTTTGCACAGCTTATTTTATAAAATAAATAAGGCAAAGCTCTAAGAGCCTGAGCGCATTCTCAATTAGTATTTCACATATTAACATGTATTAATAGTTTCAGCTTCAGTCCAATCCTTTACAGGAGAAATCTGAAGCAAACTTTAGTTCCAGACAGGAAGAGAGAGGTGGAAAGAGATCTATTTTGCTATTTTGCAAGGACATTTTTAAAAAGCATGAAACACAAATTATACTCAGCTCTGATTGAAAATTTCAAGATTAATCAGTTTAGCTTTTCTCAGATAGGATATTGTGTAGTCAGGCCCATTAATTTTTTTTTTGTATTTAACTAAATCAAAGCCTAGATTTTCCCCCGCTCATTTTATTTTTAAAATGAGAATTTTCTTAGATGGCTCAGGAAGGCTATAATGTTGGTGATGGGTTTTTTTCTGGCCAATATCTCTTTTTTTTCTTTTTTGGTGTGAAGGAAAACTTGTCTTAAAGTTAAGCTTTTTTTTCTTTAAAGTGTGTAAAGTGGTGGGATTCAGCCAGTTCGCACCACTTCGGGAGAACCGGTTGTTAACTTTCTGAGCAGTTTGGCAAACTGGTTGTTGGAAGAAATCATTAGGACAGAGAACCGGTTGTTAAATTACTTGAATCCCACCACTGGTGTAAAGTATGTGTGTAATTGTAATTCTGACCTTAACCACAACTTCTATTAACTGTAGGGCAATGTTACTTGGACAGTTATAAATTTTATATAGGTTGGTGGAAAGGTTAACACCAGCAGTGAAATCTGGCCAGATCTATCCGGCTCACGCGAACTGGTAGCGCCGGCGGCGGGAGGGTTAACCCTAACCCTCTGGGACATCATTATGTCCCGTTTTTTACCCTCTGCGCATGCGCAGAAGGCTCTGCGCATGTGCAAAAGAGACGTGTGCATAGCGCTCCCATGCGCTCCCATTCCCGAACCGGTGGCAAAGGTAAGTGGATTTCACTGCTGGTTAACACTTTACCAAATAATGTTGAAAGGCATGCTTGCGTGCTCCAATATTAGCAGTAACAATGAATACAGGTAGTCCTCAACTTCCAATCACAACTGAACCAAAAATTTCTGTTGCTAAGCAAGAATGTTGTTAAGTGAGTTTCACCCCATTTTTAATCCTGGGCACAGCAACTGTCATAAATAAGAGTCAGTTGCTAAGCATCTGAATTTTGAACACATCACTACGGGGATGCCGTAAGGTCATAAGTATGAAAAACGGTCATAAGTCACTTGTTCCAGTGCCGTTGTAACTTTGAACGGTCACTAAATGAATGGTTGTAAATCAACTATTATTTGTACTGGGGGATAATGAAATTGCTGCTAATTACACCAATCTTGACTAATGGTAACATTTAGACCCAATCCCTAGAGAATTCTCCCCATGCATAATATTTTGGAGCATGATTTAGGAAAATAAACCTCATAGGGATACAAGTAGTCCTTGAATTACGATTACAATTGAGCCCAAGATTTCTGTCACTAAGTGAGGCAGTTAAGTGAACTTTGTCCCATTTTATGACCTTTCTTGCCACAACTGTTAAGTGAATCACTGTAGTTGTTAAGTTAGCAACTCGGTTGTAAAGTGAATCTGGCTTCCCCATTGACTTTGCTTGTTGGAAGGTCCCAGAAGATGATTACGTGACCCTGGGATACTTTAACCATTATAAATATGCATTGCCATACGTCTGAATGTTGGTATGTGGCCATGGCAATGCTGCAGTGGTCATAACTGTGAAAAACGGTCATAAGTCACTTTTCAGTGCTGTTATAACTTTGGTCACTAAATGAGCTGTTGTAAGTCGAAACATAATGACAGCTAAAGGCTAACCATAATAATTGTAAAATGAGAGGGATCTTATTTTTATTTTCCCTATTCTGCCTGTGAATGTTTCAATGCACTTTCACGTAGTCTCCTGTGTGTGTTCTCTTGGGAAATCACATAGATATACAACTACACAAATCTTCACATTTGGAAATCCTTTGGAATACCAACAGATGCTATAAGCTTGGACTACGATGAGGTTGTCTTACCCATGGAGCGATAGCAGGAGCACCACTTTTCTACTGTCTCTCAGGTTTAATGTCCCTCTTAGTTTTTTCTAAGCTAAGAGAAGGTTATTGGCAGAAATAAACAGGGAACGAGGCAACATTTGAGGCTTTTCTTTTGTAGTATTTGGGGCACGTTGTAGCTTGGTGAAAGCTTAAGGGGAATTGCTGTGGATATACTATGTGGAATTCAGAACTATTCTAGTTATCTGTGCTATTCGGTATATGAGAGCAAAGTTACAAGAATGAAGGAAATGTGATCTTTTACACATTGATGCTGTTAATATTAAGGAAGAACAATACCGAAATCTGATGTTATCTTCAGTGGCTGAAGGCTTGACAGGAGATCTACCTCAGTTTATCTAGCCACAGCTTCAGTGGTGGGTTGCCCCTGGTTCTGACTGGTTCACAAGAACCGGTAGTAAAACCGGCGGGAGGCTCCGCCCACCACCCCAGATGTCGTCATAGGCAATCTGCACATGCGCAGAAGCTTGGCATGCACGCGATCCCATTGCGAACCGGTAATTAAAAAGGTAAGTAGAATCCACCCCTTCACAGCTTGCTTACTTACTTAACACAGTTTTCTGGATTTAGATGTTATGCTGGATTATAAATTTCTCATCCAAGTTTGGAATCAATAACACCAAAAGGTTAAAAGGTGATGCTGTAATTTTGGTTTCCGTATGCCAGAAGAAACTCAACCGGAGGTTTCCTTTCTAGACTTTCTTCTGATTAGTCTCCAACATTCTAAACAATCTAAAATCTACCAAGGTGGCATAATTATCCCAGAGCTATAATTGCACTCAACAATGAACTAAAGGGCCACCATCAGTGAGCTGTTGGACAGCATTACTTGGTCTGTTGTGTGGATGTTTGGGTGGTTCAGGGGCAGGGAATTTGTGGTGGGTGGGGGTGTGTTTGGGGATCGTTATGTGTGTTGGGTCTGGTCTTTGGCTGTTAAGTGAATTTTGTTGTATGGGTATACTGTATATTATATATGTACAATGACAATAAAGTTAAACTTAAACTTAACTTATCAACCAGTGGCCTGATAGTGATTTAATAATTTCCCCCTGCCTTTTCATTTTTTGCAGTTTCAGGGTGGCTAAAGTTTGCTCCTATTTCAATAGATGTGTGCTGCATTGGCTATTTCAGCAATTGTAATGTAACATAGTAGGTCACATCTAATACAATTCCATTTTTTTTACATATATATTGAAGGAGTCTTGGCTTCATTTGTATTTCCTCACACTAGGAAATTGCTAGAACTTCCTGGACTATTAGGTGGAAATTCCGTTCCCTAAAGCCAATTTAGCACTACAACACATATAAAATAGAAAATATACTCTAAATAGCCTGACTCATGTCAGAGCCCATGTTGCCTGAGTTTATAATGACAGGTTATAATGTGGGTTTTAAAAAAAAATTGTTTTGTTTTGTTTTAGGTTAAGAGCGATATAAGGATATTAGGAGAGCTTATCACAAAGAGTCCTTTTTTGTGTGGTACATGATTATTGCTTCCTGAAATGAAAACATGTGGTGTTGCAGGACATTTATTCTTCCCTGAGCTTCCTGGGTAATTTGGTTGCTATATACCAGGGGTGGGTTCTACTTACCTTTACTACTGGTTTGCAATGGGAGCGCGTGCTTGCTTCTGCGCATGCGCAGATCACCAAATATGATGTCCGAATGGGTGAGCAGAGCCTCCCGCCGCTTTTACTACCGGTTCTCAAGAACCGGAGAGAACCAGGAGCAACCCACCACTGCTATATACCAAGGACTAACAGGTGTGCTAACAAAAGAGACTGTAGTATTTACAATGGATTAGTTTCTAAAACATGCACAATCACAACTGAGCGACAAAGGACACCGGTCTACAGAGAAAACTCTTCGGATTTAAAGCAGTACAAAATGACAAAGCAGAAAGCAAGAGGGAGCACAGACGGCTCAGATTGGTTACCTTAAGAATAATTTCTAATGTAAAGATACTAGTGAAGACATAATCTGCATTGCCTAGGATCTGAAAAATAAGCACAGTTGGGTTAGTGATCACCGAGCATGGCCAAAACACAAACAGGTGTGTGGGTTAGCAACAGAGAGCAGCAGGAAATTAGTGGGCTTACAAGTGAGAAGCTAATGGAAGAGGAGATGGGACTTTACCTTCAGGGCAATTTCAATGGTGAAAATGACAGTAAAAAATATATCAAAACAAAAGAGAACCTGTAAAACAAAAGGGAAGGGGTGCAGGGAGAAGGAAGGTAGGTGAGTGAACACTATAAAACTAAATCACAATATAAAATCAAAATGAATAGCTACGTTAAGGAGCTATATTGGTGAGTGACTGCAACTTTTTAGTGAAGGCAATGATCAGGCTATAAAGCAGGATATTTAAATAACAGTTGTCTTTGTTTACTATTTTTCATGAGAAAGCAAAGTACTATTTCTGTCAAACAGTATATCGTAAATTAAACCCCTGGCCAGAAAATTTAAATATACTTGATCTCTGGTGGAAAATGTATGCTTCCTTTTTCCCTCCCTCTCCAAAAACTATTATATGTATGTAACTCTGTTTTATTATCAAGGGAAACAAAGTCACGCTGCCTGAGATTTATTGGATGATCCTATGTTGTTATAAAGCCACACCTTAACTGAGTTTTTTTTTTTTTAAAAGTGATCCTAAGTATAGCTATCATTCAAATCAGTGAGACTTACTCTGGGGTTACCATAATTAAGGTTAGGCTGTAAAGTGGAATATAGCTCTATCGATCCTCAACTAGGAATAGATTTGATTGTATATAAACAAAATGCCAAAGTAGAACTGAGTTAGATTTGTTCCCTGAATGTTATTCAGTATAACGTCAAATATATATTGTTGTGTTCCTTTTAACTTTATAGTTAGTCTGATTAAACTTCACAGGTTTAGTGTCCCTGAGGGAAGAACAGGAACTCATCATTTCACAAAGAAAAAGCTGATTTGAATAGAACATATTTAAAGATATGTGAAGTTGTTAAATAATGCCGGAAGAAAGGGGTTTTCGCCCAATTGAGCTTTCTTCCTCACTTTTAAGCTTTATGGGCAAAATTCTATGCCAGCATAATTAAACATGACCGGATTAATACTCGGTTTAGCATAGCACAATGCAGTTTGGGAACTATTTTGTTCAGTTCACAACAATAGTTCTTAATTACTTTATTTAAAAAAGATTGGAAGTGGCTCTATTTTTGTGAATTCAGTAAATGTACAGTAAATAACCAACTAAATAGCTGGACAATATAATTTTACATCATTACAAAAATTAAACAATACAGGTCAAGACACTGCAATTTGAATTACTCTTATGCAGTGCCTATGAATTTAGAAATACTTCAAAACAACAGCAAAAAAACCCCAAACAACCCTGAAATAATATATGATCATACAAGATTTGCAGCTGCTTCTCTTCCTGGAATGAGATGATACTGGTGCTTAAGGGGGTTATCTTGAATTGAAAACGTTTTTAAGGATATGTCTAGTGTATTAAAAAAAAGTATGCATTGAATAGAAATTATTATAAAACACCCGCAAAAAGCAAATCTCACTTGCTGATTGACAAGCAGATGCTTATTCAGTCTTAAATCATATTAAAATCAAAATAAATCCCCATTTGATGAAAAGAGATTGTTTGAAGAACTGGCCACACTGTTGAACAATTTGGAAAAATATCACATTGGAATATAGATTTGGTAAGAATATTAAAGAAATCTTTTCCAAAATCTGCTATGGAATCTACTTCATGTTTATAGCAGGAAAGGCCTGCATAATTGAATACTCTTAATCTTTCCCCTCATGTGCTCATTTTCCAGCATATCAATATTAATGAATCAATTAATTTGTACATGTACAGTATGTATATGAACCATCACGTACATTTTTACCTGCTGATACCATTTTGCAGAGACAGTATAATTCAATATTCTGGCAGTAGGTAGAAATAGGAATGAACAAAGCATTATATATTGAGAAGTTATGAGAATTTGGACTAGAGCCAAATTCTGCATTTTGACAGTCTTCCTAGACTAATATTGAGCCCAGGTGTTCTTTTCTGAGCTCTGAATGACTATTGATGCATGCATAGAACTTTCAAGCTTCCCATTAATTTTAGTGTAGTGATGAGCTGCCTTAGTAATATTTCTGGACACTTTTACATAGCATAAAAATATGGATAGCTTTTTAATTTACAAACCTGTTTCAACTGACAAGATAACTAAATATCATGTGCAACTTTTAAACGTCATGACTCTTTAGAGCAGTGTTTCTCAACCTCAGCCACTTTGAGATGTGTGGACTTAAATCCCAGCAGTCCCCAGCCAGCCTGAAGAAACACAGCTTTGAAGGAGCATCTTTCCATGGAATTGAAATTGCAAATTATGCTTAAAAGTGGAAGGAATCTTGCCCCTTGTTTTTAGGCATGTTTCCTCTGTAAATTCAGTCCCACTGAGTTCAATTATGTTTATTCTGCAGTAAATGGAAATAGAATTGCAGCCTTAAATGCTCACAATTATCAAGTTATTTTATGTATGATTACACCTGTAATTTCTGCTGTTTAAATATTGAGAATTATTAGCCCATTAAATTATATTTTTGTCATGTGATTCAAAATACCTTGATAATACAGTATAGTTTTGCTTTTTACAACACATTCAGATAACATTTGCCGCAGACTTCTTGTTACAGTGAATATCATTTTACAAAGAGAATCACCAATAGGTAATTTCATTACTTTAAACAGACTGGGTGAAATTTGCCCTTTTCTGGATGGTGTGTTAAATTTAAGTACTGGGTGTTTCTGAAAAAGGAATGTTATAAAGACCAGCGAGGAGGTTGGAAATATTGATGATTTCTTGTTATCTAAATGATACTTTTGAAACTATTTCCACATATATTTCCGCTTTCCTTTTTAACACAGATCAAACTCTGAAACAAAGATTTTGGTATAAATACCTCTGAAACTGCCATATATAGCAGAAGTGAATATACTGTCCATTTACAACTCTTCATACCCAAAATATAGTAAAAGTAACAACTCTCTTGAAGAGAGCTAGACTACTGTACTTTGGAGTGGCTTGCCCTTGTCTTCTCCTGGTATAAATTTTTGACTATTATTAGTCTTGATTATCTCCAATCCAAGTATGAATTTAATCTGACCTTGCATAGATTTTCAGATCAGTCAAACCTGTTGCCATCTGCTGTGGCTCTAGAAAGTTTTAAGCGTCTTTCAAAAACAAAACAAAATATGTTTTGGGGATGCAAGGCTGCAGGGAATGGTTTAGATCAGTATTTCTCAAATTAAGATGTGTAGACTTCAACTCCCAGAATTTCCAGCCAAAGAACTGAAGTCCACATATCTTAAAATTTGTAAGATTGAGAAACACGATTTAGGTAACATCTGTTCAAGCACATCTACAGTATATTACATCAAATCTGAATGCAGGATGATATATTTAACATACAGGACGCCCCAGTTCAATCCTCGACATTTCTAAATCTGGCTGTAAAAACATTTGCTTGACAATTTATAGGATGATATTTTGAGGTAAAAACATTGATGACCTGTTTCATTACAGGAAAGTTTCCTAAGGAAGGATTGAAAAATAGTTTGCAATGTAATCATATGTAAATCTACTTGAGGTTAATTTCATTGATTTTACTGAGAGTTACTCCTGTTAGGTATGTTTAAGTGGCAGCCGTAAGGGCCATTCTTCATTCTAGGGATCCACTGAAAATATAGTTTTATTGGAAGGGTAATAGATCCTTAGAAGTCTTTTTGAGGTTGATTCCCTAGAAAACCCACTTTATTGATGTCATTTGTTTATTTATATACTTTTGACCACATAAACTTTGCTGAAATAAAAAACTCATATAAATATAACAACTCAACTGCTTAATTTAATATGAATTCTAGGTTAATTTACACAAAATTATGTGTGTGTGTTATAAGGTAGTCCTCGACTTATAAACACAATTGACCCCAAAATCTCTGTTACTAAGCGAGACATTTGTGAATTTTATCCCATTTTATGACCTTTCTTGCCACAGTTGTTAAGCAAATTATTGCAGTTGTTAAGCAACACAGTTGTTAAGGTTTCCCCATTGACTTTGCATGTCAGAAAGTCACAAAAGGTGACCACATGATCCCAGGTCACTGCAACTGTCGTAAATATGAGTCAAGCATTTGAATTTTCATCACGTGACCATGGGGATGCTGCAATGGTCAGAAGTGTGAAAAATGACTTTTTTCAGTGCTGTTGTCACTAAATGAACCGTTGTTAGTCGAGGACTACCTGTACTGACTGGTAGCTCTTTCTGTTTAGGCATTAATTTAGATCAGGCAGCATGAGAACCTGGTAAGCATTAGTCATTTGGCTTCTGAACCTCATTCTGAACAATCTGCAGAGCAGTGAAAAAGTGGAAGGCGTACTTGATTTCTAACTGAGTAATGCCGAACTGGGTCCTCAGCTGCCAGAGAGATGCTGCTGAGCAAGATGAAAAAAAGGATCAGGTTGGTGAAAATGTTGTTATTAACGATGCGATGACAGTGGACCCGAAATCTGGGGGGAAAAAAAAAAGAGAGAGAGAGAGAGAGAGAGAGAGAGAGAGACTCTTACTCATCAGATATTACAGAGATCAATGTTTTATCTCAACCCCTCGATTTCTTTTCTTCTTTTTTAAAGTTTTTTATTTTGACCATATTAAAACAAAACATAAACACACAACATTTATATACATATAACTTATTCCTTCAGCTATTTCAAGGTGATCCTTTCTTGCTATTTACATCTATTTACACATATTTTACCTTTTGTCTTATTCAACAATTATTTTCTATCTTTCTTTATTTCGTCTACATTGCACCTTGATCTTCAACATTTCCCCCCCTCCTTTATTCCTCTTATTCCTCTTCCTCATTTTTCCTATTTTCCAATCATTCATACCATCTACACGATTTCTTAAGCTTATTTGTAGGCCAGATGCCAACAGAAACAGAACATTTGACCATATGAATCTTCATCAACAATCTGAAGTAAAACAGTCCAGTCACAAATTTGCCACCTCCCTGAAAGTATCGGGACGAATAAATCACAAACGGATTCCTGTTCATGACTTTCAACCTTCTGCAGGGAATAAAAGATGAAATAATGATTGTGATTTATGATATCTGTGATTTTAAACATATTTTGGCATTGCAAATCTGAGCAGAGGGACTTTGTGACTGAACTCACCTAAGCCATAAGGGTGTCTAACTGAAGATCCAAGTAGAATGAGTCAAATAAATCAATAGAGTTATTTTTTAAAAAGAAGATAAGACTGTTATGCGGTTGGAGAGGGGGAGGATACTGTACTGTTTTTTCAATAGGGTGAGGAGTTTTGTAATTTAATTAATTAATTTAATTAGCAATTTTATGATGTTTGTGTGTCTATATTTTTCTTGACTGTACACCGCCTTGAGTCCTACGGGAGAAAGGCGGTATAGAAATATAATAAATAAATAAATAAATAAATAAAATTTCCTAGGTCAGTGATGAAGAACCTTTTCGGCACCAAAAAGTGCCAAAAAGGGAGCATCTGCTTTACGCACGTGTCTGGACCACAACACAGAAGAGGAGCTGCCCAGGGCACATGTGCGCGTCCGAAAATGAACTTCCGGTTTCAGCTACTGAACTTTTGGTTTCAGCCGGGTTTCTAGTGCGCATGTGCATGCGACAATCAGCTGGCCGGTGTGCATGCTCACTCAGGACTAGACTAGCTAGAAGATTTTCTAGTTTCCCGCACTGCCGCATGCAAAAAGGCTAGCTGATCATCGCATGTGCATACACGTCAGAAACCTGGAAGAGGAACAGGTGATGCCGCGCATGCCAGGTGACATGGCTCCGTGTGCCACTTTGGACACGCGTGCCATAGGTTCCCCATCACGGTCCTAGGTAGACCTATTCGATTATGATAACAGCCTTAAGATTTTGCTGTGAATGAATGTAGAATGATTACTGGAAAACATTTACATATTGTTTCTAATTCCCCCCATCTCTAATTTCTACTCTTCTCGTATTATATCAAACCGTTCTGCTGAAAATGCAAGGAAGATTTTTATGGCTTGGAGACAAGGCTGCCCTTCCTTAAAGCCCCAACCATTTATGTCATCAAGGCCAGTTTCATGGCAGCAAGCTAGTCCTTGGGCTAGATTAAGAGCAGAGCTCTCATTTATCCATCTCTGATATAAACCAAGCAGCTTTTTTTCCCACACAGAGCAATTCTATTATGAGATACAGATTATTTTTCTTTTCCATTTTCTAGAATTTGTCTCATATAACATTCTTGGAGATCAGTGACAATATTGAAAATATTATCACTGACAATACATTTTCCTATATCATAGAATTATCCATGAGTAGGCTTGCATTGAACTAGACAGACTACAAAACATACAACTACCCACACTTTCTTAAAAGCATGTCATCGGGACTGTTTTCATGGTGGCACAAGTTCATACAAGAAACAACATACTTGTTGCTGGGACTGAAAATGAAAAAAGCACTGGCTTCTGGCATTGGCACCGCTTTCTCCTTAAGATGCAGTTCAGACATAGGGCGAGGACGAGGTCCAACGGGCATCTCTGGTTGTTCTTCTTCATCATCCTCTCCTAAAAGGTAAAAGTCTTCATTTTTAGAATTATTCATCATAAATAGCCTATTGATTTACCTCATAAAGAATATCTGATTGTATCTCAGTCTTAAAAGTAAGAAGTATTCAAACATATCCCAAACTGGGGCCCACTAGTAATATATCTCCCAGCGACCGGTAAGATCCCACAGAGTTGGTCTCCTCCAGGTCCTGTCAGCTAAACAATGTCAGCTGGCGGGCCCGTGGGGGAGGGCCTTCTCTGTGGTTGCCCCAGCTCTTTGGAACCAGTTACCTCCTGAGGTCTGGACCATCCACACCCTATTGGCCTTCCGAAAAGCGGTGAAGACCTGGCTTTTCCAGCAGGCCTGGGGCTGTTGATCTCGCTCTTGTGATCTGGCGAGATCCGGCCATGAATGGTGTGAATGAGTTTTTAATGTTTTTAATGTTTTTTAATTTTTCAATGTCTTTTTATAATGATTTTTTAAATGTATTGTGAGCCGCCCTGAGTCTTCGGAGAGGGGCGGCATATAAATTTAATTAATTAAATTAAATTAATTATATCTACTTGTATAACACAAGTACCACTCCAGCATTCTGACCAGAATAAACCATGTTGGCTAGATGTCATGGAGATTCTCAATCCCAAAGGTACTTTTGCAAAAGGCAACTGGGCTTTCTTGATTTTTGCCTTGAAAACATTTCACATCTCATCCAAGAAGCTTTTTCAGTTCTCAGAACTGAAAAAGGATAACAAGCGAAATGTTTTCAAGGGAAAAACCACGAAAGTCCAGTTGCCTTTTGAAAAGCATCTTTGGGACATGTTGGCTAGAAATACTGGAAGTTGAAGAGGGTCAGGGAAGACTGTTCTCCATCTTGGGTTGATCTGAAATTCTTCTGCCAAAATTAAAATTATCTTATAATTTGAGAGGTCAGAGGAGGCTATGTTTCAGCCTTGATAGAATGAAAGATCCTAACTTCTGTGCTTAAGATTGGAGTCTGAGGGAATATGTACCCCTATCGATGTATACTTGATCCTGAACAACTGTGTAACTCCTAGCAGAAAAGGAGACTTTGATGCAAAAACCAAACTTGATCTGAACCCTTGGCAATTCTTTGTATGTGGAAATTAATTTCAGACCAAGAAGATAGTGACAGAGACCAGTGCGGAGCTCTTATTCAAAAGGATGAGGATCTGTGCTAGACTCTCCAAACAGCTGCAAGGCTAAGTAAATCTTACCAGACTATTGGATTTACTGTACAGTCTCATACTGTATCTGTTCATACGGTTCCAAATAATGCAAATACACCCCCACACCCAGAATTAAACGCAACTTACACTTATTTATTTCTAAAATTCAGTTAATCAACTCAATTATTTCTCATAACAGCTAATGTGCAAGTCACAGTAGATCGCAAACATTACATAAAATCAATCATTAGTTGAAATATTTAATTCAAAATCAAGCATTTCTGATAAGCAGACTCATTTTTTTTAAAATGTCAAACTTCAACAAACAAGGGAACTTTTTAACATCGTGTGTAATGAATGGGGAGAGATCATACTCCAGAAGTTCAGATACAAATAATTAATCATTCAAAATTAAATCTGCCAATCTAGAGCACGGAATATATATATATATATATATATATATATATATATATATATATATATGTATGTATGTATGTATGTATGTATGTATGTATGTATGTATGTATACGTATACGTACACATACACACACACACACACACACACACATATATATATATAAGTATTTTCTATCGAGACGTCTGGTTTACCCCAGCATGTGGGAGGGAGCCTGTCAACGATGCGTTGCGTTTCCGTGTGAGCAAGGCGAAAGGAGCACACGTAGCCTAGGCTTGATGCAACTTCTTTATTCACTATGCCTTCACACGCTGCACGGCAAAGCTGCTGGTATACGGATACACATAAAGTCGGCGTTGGGAGCGGCTGCCTCCCAACGCCTTTTAAATAGCGCGCCGGCATGGTATTTAAGACCACCGCCCTTCCGGGCTTCCTGCGCATGCGCCGCTGGCTGCCGTCCCATTACAGCAGGAAGGTAAACAATACTCCCTCTCCCCGGCCGCCACCGTGACCGACCGCCTCATATAACACCCCCACCACCGTGTAGCAGCGTAGATAGTCTTCGACGCCCAAACCCCCCCCCGTCGACGCCAACCCCGTCTGGCGGCTGTCAACTGGAGCGGTTGAGTCCGTGACCGTAGCAGCGAGGTGAGATGTTGAGGGGATCGCGACAAGCCTACTGCATCCCTTTCGCCTTTCAGTTCCAATCCAGGAGCCCTCAAACAGTCGCATTCATGACATATCATTTTATACCATATAGATATATACAGTATATGAGGCAAACACTTGACCACTTTATACTGCACAAATATTTTTTATAGGAAAGGTACTTTTTCTTACAAAAAAAAAAAGAAGGAAAATATGGAAATATTGTTTGCTTAGAATTCACACATTTAAAAGCAGAAACTTCTGAACAAGATTCTTAAAGAAAGAAAAGCTCTAAGCATTGTGGAGATTTACGAATAACCCTTGAGGAAGAAAGGCGAAAACAGTCCCATGAATGGCCTGTGGAGCATACAGGAAAGGTTTCAGCAAACACTTTGCAGAATCAAATGAGCAAACCAACAATAATACACGTACAACTCAACATGCACTCCAGAGCTGCCATTCCAGTAATCAGTTAAACAGAAATGTTGCACAATGATTCAGAACCACGGCTGTATTTAACAAACCACATGGCTATCTTTCTAGCAATTCCCAAAGCTAGCAATTCAACCATAATTCTATACTTGTATTTATTTATTTATTTGTTTCTTTTCAAAGCAAATCTCTTTAAATAATAGGTGTGGGTGAACCAGCTCATCTCTGAATTTCAGCTATGCAGTAATTGCACAGAAAGAGAGAAAAATAGTCTTTTAAATACATCATATTGTGCAAATGTGTAGACTAAAAAAAAAACAATATTCAGAGAGCTTTGTTAAGTGCTTAAGGTATATAAAGTACACTAAGTGATACTGCATAGATATAACCATGGAGTTTTCTTGGTACCAGTAAAAAGATAACTGCCAAGATTCTTCAACATCCCAATCCACTTTACAATCCTGCAATTTCCAAAAAGTTTCCCATTTCAAATATCAATCAGAGCTGAGCCTACTTAAACATTTGAACTTAGCTATGATCATCCAAGTGTTACTACTATCTGCCAGGACAACATTTTTCCTTTTTGTCTTGTATAATTGTTGTGAGCTGCCACAAGAGCAAGTGTTGCATACAAAACAAGGAATGGCAAGCAAACGAGTCTTTTAAAGAAAACCTTTGGATTTTGACCTCAGCCTGGCATTTACCTTTTCTGTAATAGCTACACTCTGAACCAATATCTTCATTAAACTATCCATTACAGCTCAAAATCCTTTCATGGTCACTCATTGCCTATTCAAATCTTATGAGCATCTATATGTATATGACCTATATCTGCCTTCTCAAGGTCTGGCCCTTTAATTTATTATTTACTATTAGTACATTAAATTTATTACAGCCACCCACTCTAGCACACTCAAGAGAATTTAGGCAGATTATTTTGAAGGTTGGGTTTTTTTGCTGTCATTAATTTCATTTGTTTTGTTTTGTTTTGACCATCAATTGAGGATCAGTTAGGTGATTAGATAACATATGAGCTGCTAAGCAGCTCTGGTCCCAATACTGGACCTGGTTTGTATTTTCCTTCTAGTTTGTAAGTTGATTTCTATCTTTCACTCTCATCTGATCTGCTTAAACAGCAAACCTCTTTAAAGATATAGATTGTAAATTCTAATTGCAGCCACTCTAGCATCATCATAAGTCTTCTCCTGACAAGAAGCTTACTTTCATAGCTGAATTCTTTAGTGGCAGTTGCAAAAGGCAACTTGGGGAATTGCATCATAAGTGCCGACAGGACCTACTACCAGTAGTTAGAAAGATTTGAAGCAGCATTGCAATTGAAAGATAAGACAACAAAACAAAAAATTAGTAAGAAAGCTTGGAGGAATATGCACCCATAAACAGCTCAGTGAAATGCACAATACTGTCTAACATGGACTTCGTGTCTATCTCTGAAGAAAAGAAATAGATCTTGCTAAATTGCAAGATGATATACAGGTAAGCAAACAGCCACAGTAGAAAGTGCAAAGTTTACACACAATACCTTCCTTCTCCCAATACCCTTCCTCCCCCGTTTCTCTCTCCGACTGTGGGGAATTTGCCTAAAACATTTGTATTACAATGGTGATGCCAGATACAGGAGAACTTTAAACCTTTATGTCAGACCTAGCTATTCAGATGTAACCAGGGTTTAATTAAAAGACAGAGATGAGCTTGAAAACAGCCAGGCAATGACAAATATGGGTATCAAAACAGATAGGAGATTTTTCTCAGCATCAAAGAAGTGCTCCTACAGAGATAGAGTCCAAAACATGATAAGACTATGTGGAAATCTTAAATATCCATTGAATCTCCAGACCTCTGATATATTTAAATTCCAGTGACTAGGGGAGAATTGGGCATTTAACAATAAACTTGCTGATACAAGAAAAAAACTGTTATTTAGATAAAAAGTACAGTTACAAATCAATAGAGCTGAACAGTAAGATTTGTCAGATTAAAAGTTTCCAGCTGTGGTTCTACTATGAGAAGTCACTTTCCCCTGTATCTATGTACCAACCCAATCTTCATCAAAGACAAGTCAGAGATCAAAGGCTCTGAAGCTTTATTGAAATTTAATTTTACATTACAAAACCAAGGTATCCAATTGAATGTGGTGAATGACTAGAGCAAGCAACTCTGTCCTAACACTTTGATACAGTCTACCGTTTGAAATAAACTAATACTTTTCTGAATCTAATTCATTTTTCTCTCCCCCCCCCCCCAAAAGTCCACTTTCCTAGAGGAATATCGTCTGTAGTTTTAGTGGGGAAAGGCTGCCAGAATGCCAATAATTGCA